CCCCCCCAACCACCAAATTTACACATGGATTATGACAAATATTCACACCCAAATTTTATGATGCTTACTAGATATTTAGACAGGATAGATCGGCTTTCTTCTCCGAGCGTTCCTACAAATTAGTGCAAGGAACAACTAGAATGCTATCTCTTGAAGTATTTGAAGTGTGTTCTGGCGAACCTGAAACCACAATTAAAAATTCAATAAGTTGCTACTTCTCAAGAAACGTCAAAAACAATCAGCAATTTAGCAACCTGTCATAGATAGACTCCCAACTACCAAACTTTAGGAAGTCTACTCTCAAGTGTAATAAACTAAGATTCAAAAATTTAAAAGACAGCCAAGTTAATGACACGATATACACGCTCCAATCTTGATATACATGATTTACTGAACGAAGTTAAACTTGGAGAACTCTCAAGTAACTTTCACCAGTAAAGGAGGAACTTTACGACCCTTCTACCTTAGAAAATGGCTATGAAAGTCAACTAGCGGGGTAGACATATTGCAAAGCGACTTTCTACATAAAATGCTACCACACACAAAGACAGATTAACAATAGCATACCCATTCAAGATGCTGTGCTGTGACTCCAGAGATATTTCCTCCATATATGCCACCTAACACCTAAAAAGTCCCAATAAAGATGTGGTTAGACATCATAACCGCCGGGGCATTTGCACAAATGGCCTATTTTTAGGCCACTATTTAAATTATGTCCCAACCAACCCAGTGGGCTAAATTTGTCTGCAAAAAGAGAAGTTCATCCAACAACTTTTAAAGGTAAAATTTATCCCACTGGGCTAATGGGAAGAAAATTTGAACAGTGGCCTCAAAAAGGCTATATACAGTGTAAATAATCCATAATTATCTCATACTTTTCTTTCGTAAGACACTTGGCAGAGAAATTTGTATCTGGAAACTGACTACCACATAGTCAAACTTAATGTACTTTTTTTTGTGACTAGCTCACCAGAAACCATAACCACCAACTCTACATCCTATAACAACAACCATATGCACAGGCAACTCTTACCTTAGAAACTGTCTCAAGAAACATGCCAGGGCGCACAGGCAATGGTTTACGCCCACTTACACTTGCCTGGGAGAAAAAGTAAAATTATCATAATGCAGACTATAATTTTCGTTGAAAAAACTTTTGGATATCTTAAAAAGTAATGAGATCATTGCGAAACAGAATCTCACCCTTCCTGCAATTCCACCAGCATTACTAACTTCATCATCCGAACTTTCTGCACCTTCCTCTTTACCCAGCATCACATTTTTTATCATGTCGTGTACAGTTTTCCCTGGTCTTAAGGAAACAAGTTTAGTTAAAAAGTTCACCTGCATGAACATAAAAAGGCTAACATCAGAAAGAAAAGCACAAGCAGCAAAACAAAGACATCCAGGTAGTTCATTTCTCACAGATTAACTACATTTTAGGAAACCTCCTGAGCAGTTGACCAATAAAACGTGACCGGATATCGAATGTTCAAGAACAAACCTCTGATTCAGGCAGTGTATTCAGGCCACGATCATTTCTTTCGTCAAGTATTCCACCTCCCATCATGTTCCTAGCTTCTTCTCTGATTAAAACTAATCTTGCTAGTAACTTCCTATCAGGTACAACAGGACGAGATTCCATTGTCTGTGGCAAAGGCAAACCAGTATTGTTTAGTGAAGCAAGGGTAAAGGAATCCTTCTAACCTAATAATATTGCAATCTGCATTAATCTGATAAATTACTTTCAGGGTTCAGAAAACACACTACATGATGTCACATATTTAAACTTAAGTACCATCAGTAACTTGCAATCTCAAAAAAAACGAAAAAATGCATATAGATAAGCATGCATGAAATAGTTATAATTTGGTTCGTACGGAACATCAGATGCTTCTTGAGCATGAAAACTACAGTTGAACATAAGAGTAAAAGGAATATCCGGACCAAATTATTACTATGCAATATTGCATAAGAGGCGTGATTCCCAAAAATCTCAATTTCTTTCTATAAGATGATACATGGATGTTATATTTAAATCAGAAAAAGGGGTCAAAACTGATTGCGAAGAATGAAATGTATCACATGTATTGAATTTCAAAACACATAAAATAGAAGTCAAAAGGGAGTAGGACAGAAAAAGTATTTTGAGAAATACTACAGCCTTACAGCACGTAGTTGAGGAATTTTTTAAAATTATTGATGACCAACAACTAACAACTCTCAAGTGCATGAATAAAATCAGAATGACTTGACAAAATCGAAGTCTAAACGACTTGATTTCTGGTCAAATAGACTTCACTGACACAATTTGCAGGTTAGGTTACTAACAGGAAACAATGTACCTCATTCTTTGGATCTGTTAACTACGATGGTTTTGTTAAGACTTGAAATTACCACAAGTTTCCTTCCTTTTTTTACTGTATATTAACAGGGGCGGGAGCGGATTCGGCCTAACCCAGTAGCTTTGGTTCGAACCCTGTATTTATCTTAAAAATTTCATTAAATATGTATAAATTATTAATCTAGAACCCAGTAACTTCAAACGATTAGAATCCCGAACCCATAAGCTTGAAATCCTAGCTCCGCCTCCGTATATTAACATAAATAAATCTGCAACTCGAGAACAACAAATAGATAATGAAGTATGCATCCGACACAAGTGCCTTAAAAATAACCAGCATTAACACTATAAATTTTAAAACAAGTTGGCTGGGCATAGTTGTTTAATATCACTATGTGAAAATATTGACCTAACCATATCAGCATGTTCCACCCCCTGTAAAAGTTTGTGGTTTCTAATAAGTTGTGTCCTAAGGGACCTGTAGCCGAATGAAACTGACACAGACAAACTATGTTGTAGCCGAATGAAACTGACACAGACAAACTATGTACTTAGATCCCAACAGTTCAACTGTCTCCTGACTATGCATGTACATTGAGAGCCTACCTCCAGAATATCATCAGCCTGGTTAGCTATGTCATTCAAATTTGCGCCAGGAAGATGAACTTTTGTGCCATTCTCACTTTGGAATACTCCACCACCTGCAGCTACTCGCCTCAGCAATTCATGCCGGCTTTCTTTTTGGGGGGTTCTACAGAGCAGGCCTACGACTTGAACCTAGAAAGCATATAAGTTCAACCCAATGTAAAAAGAAAGACTAGAGCAACAATGCTGCTAATAATTTAGTCAATGATGATACTCACATGAGGGGGGCATTTCTTGGTAAGATGTGATAACACAGTCTCCTTAATCACCTCCAAGATTGATTTGCGCTAAAAGAAACATTCAGTTGTTAACATACCCGCCAAGAATATTGCTTATATAAATGCAATACTCAGAGAAAATGAATGGATATGGACAGAGAACAAAAAGAAACACAAAACATAGCAGAAGACAAAATATGAGCAGATATACAGTTTGCTATATAAATCATATAGTGTTCTTCCAAAATGAAGGAGAATTGATTACATTAGAAGGTTTCTTTTGTCCTTTAGATTCTTTGCTTATCGCTCTTCATTCCCGATAACTTTCATTAATTTTTTTTTTTTTTTTTTTTTTTTTTTTTTTTTTTTTTTTTTTTTTTTTTTTTTTTTTTTTTTTGTCAATTAAGAAGTAAATACCTATAGGATGAAAAAACCAGAGATGAGAGAAAACAACATATCATGCACACAGGCCTACTAAGTTGTACCAGAACTATCAGTATCACTAATCTTCTGAATGAGACTGCTTTACTTCACTACATCTTGCACCAGGCAAAAGCTAAAATGATGAGCATCAAGGACAACTATTTGTCATTAATTGATCTCTAAAGCCAGCATACAAATTATCTTACCACACAGAAATGCACCAGATGTGTCAACGGTGTGAGAAGCATATAAAACTAACAAGTGAATTGCTCGTGGCAAAACAATGAAACAGACCATAAATCACAGATACAGAGTAAAAAATTATACTTCAACGAACAGCAGTCCTTAAGAAAAAATAATGAAAACAGATCAGGAACATATAAAAAACACCTTGTCGTCCTGGTCCTTTTCAGCAATTTGGATCATGTAATCAAGGGCCATCATGAAACCGGACTCCATTTCATCAACTCTCTTCCCAATCACTCCTTGTGCAGCCAATTGCACTGCTACCTCCTCAGATGCTTCGTCCATCTTCATATCTTCCAACTGTTTCATACATATGTATCCAATAAACGACATTAAATGGATGAATAACTAATCCAGCTGACATACTGGACTAACTGTGTAAACAACTTGATTGAACTACATAATCAGGTATCCTATCACATACATATAACACTTATTTGATGCTTTTAGTTGTTCTTGGTTATTGACATCACAATGCACTTCCCAAATGTATCGGCAAGCACATAGTTATATCATGTTATTACTACTTTCATATTTCTACACCTACCAATTATCCATCACCATATAATTGCTAAATAGTGTAGGTGGAGTAGGATTCATTTCTAGGGATGCTAGCTATTAAGAATTAAGACGTGCCATTGCAATATTCACACCCTTCAGATGACAATGCAGAGACTTCAGATTATTCCTAAAGGCAGCAGATATTACGCACATTCACATGGATTTCGAAATCCTATTACCTCTGATTTTTAACATCTTTAATAATTCAACACGACCAAATTCGATGAACAGAGTTTCCAGGGTTTCCACTACCACTAATTTTAACTCTACTCTTCAGAATTTCCATTTTCCTATCAACAGGGTTTAGGGTTTAAGTGTTCCAGGAATCAACACTACGGAAGATTTCGTAGTTATTAAAAGATATATACCACCGCAATTTTAGAAAAAACGAAGAACGTTAGTACACAATAAAGGGCAACGTACTAGCTTGGCCATTTCTTCAAGGACAGAGGTAACTTGGTCACCGCCTTTAAGCAGAGCGGCGTACTGAGAACTATCCCAATTGCTATTTTCAGGTTCACGACTTTTATCATTTCCATTTTGAGCTCCAAATTCCTCCGCCAAAAATCCAGCGCCGACCTCGTAACTCGTGCATAGTGCCGAAAGGTTTTGTCTGCTGAATGGCTTCAGCTGCAATGAGTACTGAGTATGGATGGAGGGTTGAAGGAAATGACATGCTGGTGGAGTCGAGTAAAGAGATGGAATTGCAGGACCAGCCCGAGAAAAAATGCTAGGAATTGACAGAAACGCCATGGATAAGAATTTTGGGGGTGAGGGGGGGAGAGAAAGAAGAAGCTAACGATGGAGCTGTGAAAATTTTGTTTTTATTTTTTATTTTTTCTGGAACTATAAAAAGTATGGTGAAGCAAAAATATCAAAAAAGAGAAAACAAATGGAGTAACGCCGTCTGTGGGAATCGAACCCACGACCACATGGTTAAAAGCCATGCGCTTTACCAGCTGAGCTAAGACGGCACGTGTCAGGCATCTTTTCATAATCATAAATCAATGCTACTACAAATTTATTGAACTAGGTTCTCTCACAAGGCTCAGCTCCTTCATTATTTTCCCATAGAGAATTCAGAATGGAAGAAACTTGACCACTAACCTTAAAGTCGAGGAAGGGAAAATATTGCTTGGCTATGAATGTGTTGAATTGTATTTCAAATTTATGATTATTATTCCTACATGAGTTATAGGTATAATTTGCACTTAGATTTAACTATATACAATCTGCAGGAGGGCTGAACATCATATATCTATATATTTGGAATAAAGCCACAATTTGCAAACTACTATGGGTTGCAGATGAAAAGAAAGATACTTTATGGATCCAATGGGTGCACAATTTCTATATTGTGGTATATTGCGTTGTATGTTTATTCATGATTATGGTCATGCACTTAGCGTGTTTGTTGTTGATACACATGTTTGTTGATTGTGAGCATTGTGGCTCGTTGGATATTCCATGCAGATCGGTATGTCTGGATCGGGCTCCGTGATGCAGCGGGGTTATGTTAGGATATGATTCTTTGAGCTTATTTCGTGTATTTTGCTTCTCCCATGTGGAATGGCATCATAGCATTATGCCTTGGCGGTTGTATCTGCGGATTTTGTTGGGTAGTTCTCTTATTTGGTTCTCCTCCCATCTTTGATTATATTCGAGTTGTTGCATGTTGGGCACGGATTGTATCATATGCGGCTCTAGGTGGCATTTATTGTGGCTTGTCGGCCGAGCGGTTTGTATTGGATGAAATGAGGTTATTGGACCTGAAATTAGTGCAATCGATTTTGGATAAAGTATGTTGAAGGGAGAATGTTATTAACCAGCTCAGAATTCGGCAACGATTATTGTCGGGCGCGAGAACTACACGCCTTATTGATTGGTTGAGTGGTTATGAGTTTCTATATGTTTCTTACATCATTAGAAGTATTGTGAAGGTTTGGGATAAGAGTTTATTTGACATGAGATTTGTTATTGGCACTGAATTGGGTAATAAGCAGTTATTACAATCTGAAAATATTACTATGAGTACATGAGTTATGTGGTAAATCATGTGATTATATCTTGGAATATGGTTATGCCTTGATGCAGCTTGTTTAGACTTATAGATGCAAGAACCGGGTCTCATAAGGAAATCCGAATGTTGGAGATTGGGTTATAAGATTTATGGACTAATGTTGAAAAAAGAATCTTCAGTTAGGTTTTATTGACGGGCATATATAGATTGAGGTAGAGTGTGATCACCCATGTGTATGGTAATTTTATATGATGATTTGATGACTTTGGAACGACTCTTGACACGTTCGAGGACGAACATATATTTAAGTGGGGGAGAATGTAACGACCCGACCGGTAACTTTGAGCATTGACATTACATTCAGTGATTTGAGGTCTTGAGTAGCTTCATATGATGTATTACAACTTGTATACATGATTGATTTTGATTTTCAGGAAGTTTGGGATTGATTCGGAAGAGTAATTCTCAATTTAGAAGCTTTAAATTGGAGTAGTTGACCAAGGTTTGACTTATAAGTAAATTATCTCGGATTCATATTTCGATAGTTTCAATAGATTCGTATGATAATTTTGGACTTAAGTATATGTCCGGATTTGGATTTGAAGATTCCTAGGGTGGTTTAGCTCTATTTGGCGAAAGTTAGAATTTTGAANAAAGGGAACCGAAGGTTTCCTTGTTTAGTAGTACGAAAGTAGTTCTACTATTAAGATGTTTAATATTAATAAGAAATATTCAGTGTTGTAGCTGTAGAACAGAATGCCGTTCGCCTTTACTTTGACTTTCTGAGAAGGACTTAAGTAGCTAAGTTTCCAAAGGTGAACACCCCCCTGTCCTTTATAGTATAGTCGTAAAGGGCTTCTCAGAAAAGTAAGGAAGAAGGCATTCGAAAGGCCGACCACTATCTCATAGGCATTCTGGTGGTAAAACCGACGACTACACGGCTCTATACCAAGTCATGAGCGATAGCGAAGCCAAGCCGCCGTCTATAGGCGAAGGGACGAAAGCCCGACGAAGGCCTATGCTACAGTAAGAAAAAAAGTACGTTGAGGTTACGAAGTCACTTAGCCGTATACTATACAAAGGGAAAGGCGTCGGTACGGAGTCACGTCAGCTGTGGATATAGACTAGGCTATAAGGAACGGAGTCAACAACTATGGACCGAGACTACACTAAGGAACAAGGAAGCTTGACTGAGAAAAGAAGTCAAGGAACGAAGTTGCTTCTCTCATAGCCCCGTTGAATAGGAGTGCGAAGGCTTTTTGTAAAAGAGTTTGATCGATAATTAACTTTGATGCTATCGGGTTTGAATTATTGTTCTGAAAGTTGTAATATGTTTATTTTATTATTTAGGACTTGTATGCAAAGTTTGGTTACGATCCAAAGCGTCTTAGAGTGATTCGGACACTTGACTTGCATACTAGTTAAGTTTAAGAATTTGAGTTGACTACAGTCAAATAATGGACTTAACGAGCTTTGATTCAGGGTATGAAAGTTCCAACAGTCTTGTATGATGGTTTTAGACTTGTCCTCAACTTTTGGTTGGATTCTAGTAAGTTTCGGATAGGTTTTGGTTGTATTGTGCTTGTCACACCTCCTTTTTCCGCGCCCGTGAGGCGCAGGGGGAGTTTTTCCAATTAAAGGA